GGTACAAGTTAGTAACTGTATTCTAAAAACTTTTCCAGGTGCATGATAATCAACTGACATCACTGCCTTCTGCTTTAGGACAATTAGAAAATCTTCAGAAACTCGATGTCAGGTAAGTGCATGGTACAAAATGGGGGTGTGAGGAATACTGGAACATTACAGTGACTGCAGAAGCGGTTGCAGTATATTGAGTTTTCTTTCAGAAAATTAATTTCACATTTTTAACTAGAGAATATTAGTATATTGAGAAATATATGGTTTGGATCATAGAATAGAATCACGGAATTGTTTGGGTTGGAAAAGCCCTTTAAGCTCACCCAGTCCAACCATTAACCCAGCACTGCCCAGCCCACCACTGACCCCTGTCCCTCAGCACCTTGTCCACACGGCTCTGAAACCCCTCCCGGGATGGTGACTCCCCCCTCCCTGGGCAGCCCTTTCCAATGCCTGACAGCCCTTTCACATCATAGCTGATGGCCTTAGGTTTGTTAAAGTTATTTTCACTGATAAAGTCTCACGTGGAAGGTGAGAACAGCGGTATTCTGAATAATCACACAAAAGCGTACCTAACTCGTCGTAGCTCTAGTTAGGGTAGCATCGTATGTAACGGAATTTTCTTTATGCAGTTGTGTTCTTACAGCTACCTAGTAATTGGTTTTTCCCTTTGTGCTCCATATTTTAATACTAGCCACAACAAACTGAAAAGTATCCCTGAAGAGTTGATGCAGTTGTCACACTTGAAGAGCCTTCTCCTTCATCACAACGAGCTGAGTCACTTGCCGGATGGATTTGGACAGCTTGTCAATTTAGAAGAATTAGTAAATTACAACTTTTTGAAAAATATTTATTTGTGCAGAAAGGCTGATTTGTCCATGTTTTGCTACTGCTAATTAAAGAAAACATAGCTTGGATGGCAGAACTTTGTGAATATTCTAATGACCTGTGTAGGGTGTCAGTGATTACATGGGGGGGTGGTTGGTTGGTTGGTTTGTTTGAAACCAGGGTTTGCTCCTGGTTTGCCAGATGTTTTAAGAAAAATCCCTTGTGATCTGTCAGTCGTGGGAGACTTGTTTCTTCCATTCACATTTCTACCAGGGAGACCCTGAAGATGTCAGCCATCTAATTTTAATGTTCTGCCAGTAATTAACTTAGCAGAAGCAGTACTCGTGGGATATTTTACACATCTCTATTTCTAACCTCTGTCTTCCTCTCTCTCTCCTTCTTTTTTTAATCTTCAGGATCTGTCCAACAACCATCTCACAGACATTCCAACAAGCTTTGCTTTGCTCATTAATTTAGTGCGACTCAATTTGGCCTGTAATGAACTCAAGAACCTGCCTGCAGATATCAGTGCGATGAAAAGTAAATTGGTTTCCTCAGATTATTAAACGCCGTACAGCCAGTGCTGTAGTTATATTCAGAAATGTAGGGCATAGTATTCAAGACTTAAAAATATAACCTTAAAGAGTTGCTGTTAGTTCAGAAATGTATAAAAATTCAACTGCAGCTGCTGTGTATCAAACTTGAGTCCTGTTATGCTTCATATTTCTTGATAAATGGGACAGGGAATGATCAGAAAAGTGTAAGGATGAATGTTGTTCTGTTTAGAAGTTCAGAGAATCACAGAACGGTTTGGGTTGGAAGGGACCTTAAAGATCATCTATTTCCAACCCCCCTGCCATGGGCAGGGACACAAAGTTGTTAGTCTTAAGGCTGCAATAAGCAATTTGACCGCTTTTTTTTTTCTTTATTGCATATTTTGAGTGGCAAATAAAGCATAAATAAGAGTTGAAATTATTGGAGAAAAAAACCCCATCAATTAGAGAGTGATAAAAGTGAATTCTAATATTTGAATGTTAAATATCAAGCTGACGAGAGATTGATAGGAAACGTGTATTTTAATGTCTCGGGGGCAGTTCTGCCAGCTCTTGTGCATGCTGTAGAAATTACCTGCAGGTCTTGCTGAGGTGGTCTAAAGCATTAGAGACTTTCTCGTTCCCACCAGTCGTGCGCCCTAAACGAGAGCCCGTGTACGGCGGTGGCGTCGGAAGCGTTCCAGAATGGCCCGTGACATAAAACGAAAAGGGGATGCCTTATTTTCAGAAATGTTGTTGCTGATTGGATTTCTTCCAAATTTCTGGCTGGCAAAATGTTGTTACACTTATTCTAAACCCCAGGATTTTTATGCTTCTGTAGAAAACAACTTTTATTTTCTCTTTTTCCCCTTTGTCACTTGCATGCTTGCTTCTGTAGGCTTAAGGCAACTGGATTGTACTAAAAACTACCTGGAAACAGTACCTTCTAAATTAGCGACTATGGCGTCCTTGGAACAACTTTACCTGAGAAAAAATAAATTGCGTTCCTTACCAGAATTCCCCTCATGCAAACTCCTGAAGGTAAGGTTTGAGATGGTTGGGATGCAGTAAATGTGTTCTGTAAGCTTCTAAAATAATAGCTCTGTTCCTTTAAACGCAGATTTCTATGAATTGCTGTGATCAGAAGTTTGTAAATCTGTGTGTAGAACTCTAGTACATCCCCATTTGCACTTAGTGTCCCTCCTGGTCAATCTTACGGTCACGTGGAAGACAAATTTGCAGCAGAACTCTTCAGATTTGGAAAAGAAAAGAAACATTTAGAAGGGGAATGACTAAAAAACTAGATCTCATGTTGTCTGCAACAGGTTTTTTTTTATCCCTAGGAGCATTTTCTGGATAAATTTGCTTTGTTCACCGTCATTTTTTCCTTGTAACTGCAGAGAAGGTAGCATTGGCAGATCTTCCGAGTATTCTGTAGCCTGAATTCCCAGTATGTTTAAAATTGAAAATCGCCTGCCTCAGAACGTCAGGAATTTGTTACTCAGCTGACAGAAAAATGATGGGGCAATTGAATGGCTGTACCACGGTGGTGTGTCCGATGACCAAATGCATCAAAGAATGCAGATGCCTTTTTTGTTCTGCGTAACTTTGAAATCAGCAGTTAAGATCCCAAGGCATTTCAGCATTTTCTGACAAAACTCACGTTGATATTGAAGTTCAGGGTCCTAGTGTGCCCAGCAGCGTGGGTACGCCGGTTTTGGTCTGCAGAACCATTCCAGTTCGTCAGTGTAAGTGGATCAGTTCATAGAGTCATAGACTGGGTTGGGTTGGGAGGGACCTTAAAGATCATCCAGTAGAACTGCCTTCTCATTCCTTCTGGAATTTAAGAAACTTCTCGAGTGAAGAAGAGGGACCTTAAAGATCATCCAGTAGAGCTGCCTTTTCATTCCTTGTGGAATTTAAGAAACTTCTTTTCACTGACAAGTGCAGAGCAAATTTATTCCTAGCTTGGAAATTCAATGCCTGGTGCTCTGGTGGTTTCAGAAAAGCCGAGTGCAGACTTGTGTCTCTGGATCTTTGGACGCTTTGGTACTTCATATGCAGATGAAAGGGAATCAAGATCTGTGGGTTTTCCACGTCACCTTATATTTTTGCCAGTGCCATGATTTAGGAAATGAGTAAGTTATTAATTTTACCGGAGTAACATAATTGTGGGTGCTCTTTGTTTCTGTAGGAATTGCATGCCGGTGAAAATCAGATTGAAATATTAAATGCAGAGAATCTGAAGCATCTGAATTCCCTCTCTGTACTGGAACTTAGAGACAACAAGATAAAATCAGTTCCTGATGAAATTACTCTGCTTCAGAAGCTGGAGCGGCTTGACCTCGCCAACAATGATATCAGTAGGTAATACGAAAAACTGCGTTATGTCTGTGATGCGGCATAGCTAATGACATCTAATTCTGTAGCTGATGTATTTCACTCTGTAAAATGTAATTAAAGGCTCAGTCACAAAACCAAGGGACCCTTTCTGTATTGTGCAAATGCTGTGAGCAAACGGCCTTTCTTTGATGTATTTGGTATGTTTTCATTGGAACCTGCGCTTTGGGCTAGCAGGCCATCTGACAAACCACTGCCAGTTCCCTGGGGTTTGTGCTGAAGCTGCTCTGAAGAGTTGTTTCCATTTGCAGATTGCCTTACACCCTGGGGAACCTCCCGCAGCTCAAGTTCCTGGCGTTAGAGGGAAATCCTTTGAGAACCATTCGAAGAGACCTTCTGCAAGTAAGCACTGAGGCACTATGTACGCGTGGGTACGAGCGTCATCAGGTTGGTGTGGACAAAACGTGTAGACTGGAGGTAGCCTGTGGAGCTTTACTCCACTTCTGGTTGGTGTGTGTTGTGCGTGTGATGCAGTGAGGTCACGAGGACTGTGGGATAAAGGAGGTGGCAGCTTTGTAGGGCCTGTTGAATGGCTGCAGAAGCTACAACCGCAACTGAAGCGGTGGATGTCTGGGAGAAGAAGGATGAGGCAGATCTGCTGCCTAATCTTGTGCAGTCACAGCTCATTGCGGTGCTAGGTGAGCCCTTCATATCAGGCTTTCCCTAGATGTGCATGGATGTCTGGTTTTCATTTCCTACTTGCCCAAATTAAGGATCTAGGATTCAGTTTCCAAAGCG